TTTTTGTTGTGCTCCCCCGCAGTATGCCAGCCGCCGTGCCCCTGTTGCTTCTGCTTGCACTGGTTTCTCCCTTCATCTCTTGCAACCGCCGCGTTAGAAACCAAAGAGGGGGGGGAAAAAAAACAGAGGAGGAAGAATAATTTTTCTTTTAAAAAAAGGAAGCAGCAGAAGACAGAGGAGGAAAAAAAAGCCTGTTCGTAAGGAAACAGATTTAACAAGGAGGAAAACGCATACATCTAAAAAAGGAAAAAAATGAGCAGTGGACTTGCCGACTTTGACGGGGATGACGTGAAGGTGCCTATTGTGTCCGCCCAACCTCATATGGGCGTGGGCATGGGGACCCACAGCGCCGTCGCCTTGGGAGGGTTTCAAGACTTCTGCCTGAAGAGTGAACTTGCCAACGCCATCCGCGAGAACGGCTTTGAGCACCCGAGCGAAGTACAGCATCAGGCACTGCCGCAGGCGATGCTTGGCGCCGACATCCTTGCGCAAGCTAAGTCTGGTATGGGAAAGACGGCTGTCTTTGTCTTTGCGCTGTTGGAGCAAATTGAGAAGGTGCCAGAAGGGCAGAAACCGCATTGCCAGGCAATCGTCGTCGTTCATGCCCGTGAGTTGGCGTACCAGATCGAGCAAGAGTTCAAGCGCTTTAACAAGTACTTGCCGTACTGCACCACAGGTGTTTTCTTTGGTGGCATCCCGGAGGACGAAAACGTGAAGCAGCTCAAGAAGGAAGTCCCTGCGATAGTGGTGGGAACACCAGGGCGTCTCAGCGCACTTATTCAGCGCAAAGCCCTTGACGCGTCGCGCGTCAAGTGGTTTGTCGTGGATGAGTTTGACCGCTGCTTAGAGGATGTTAAGATGCGCCGCGACGTTCAGATGGTGTTTCTCAAGACACCCAAGGAAAAGCAGGTGATGATGTTTTCTGCCACCATGACCGATGAGCTTCGTAATGTTGCGAAGAAGTTTATGAGTAACCCGACAGAGATATACGTGGATCAGCGGGCAAAGCTTACACTGCACGGACTTGCACAGTATTACATGAACGTTACAGAGGCCCAAAAGCTCCGTAAACTATGCGACATTCTTGATGCTGTGGAATTCAACCAGGCTATTATTTTTACCTCCTCTGTGGAGCGTTGCGAGGCACTTAGCCGCCAGCTGCAGGCCCTTAAATTTCCCGCCATGGCTATTCACTCTCGCATGGAACAGCCCGAGCGTCTCCGCGTGTATGAAAGCTGCAAGTCGAATCACACCCGTATTATTGTTGCCACTGATCTTTTTGGCCGTGGTGTCGATATTGACCGCATCAACCTCGTGGTGCAATTTGATATGGCCTCGGATGCGGACTCGTGCCTTCATCGCGTGGGTCGTGCAGGTCGTTTTGGCACGAAGGGGCTGACGATTGCCTTCCTCACCGATGAGGAGAAGGAGATTAAGCGCGAGAATCGGAAGTACACCGATCACGGCGTTATGAAGGACCTTCAGGAGAGGTTTGAGATGCAGGTCCAGGAGCTGACAGACATCAGCACTCAACTTAACCAGAGCCAGTACATGAATCAGTAATGCAGAGGCCTGTGAACGACATGAGTGCAGAAACGAAGAATAAAAAGTAAAAGAAAAAGAATTAAAAAGGCAAAAGAAAAAAGAGAAGCACAAGGTGGAGGTATAAGAGATGTTGTGTGAGCAGGGGACGGATGGTGGAAAGAGAAAGAGAAATAAAAAAAGGAGCTTCGTCTGTGTAATGGGATGACAGTGGGATATAAACCGGGACTTGACTGTTCTGTCTGGTTAATTGGTCATATCAACAATGAGGAAGAAGCATGTCAACGGCCGCTTTCTTTGGCATCCGCTTCTTTTGATCTCTGTTGCAGTTAACCTGTTTTTGTTTGGGTATTTCTGTGGCGGGAAGCATCGAATTCTACCTCTCACTTTTTCTATATCTCTCTGTGTCTCTGCGCACACCTTGTGAGGCGGTGTTGTTTTCTGCTTCTCCTTCCGCCTATCGGTGTCTTACTCTGGCTGCCGCTGCCTCGGGCGTCCGAAGCGCGCCTGTGGGAACTTGTGATGCCTGCAGCGCATAGAACCAGCGCTGCGTACGCGAGTCAGGAGAGGAAGAGGGGCACAGGCGAGGAGGAGGAGGAGGAGGGGGGGAGGCGTGTCGTCGCGGTCAAACAGATTAGGCACACTTGGCGGCAGTGCTGGGGCTCGCGACAGTGGCAGAAGCGGGAAGTGAGTGATAGAGATAGAGAGAAATGCAACTCAAAGAGAAAGGGGAAAGTGCAGAGGGCAGGCACATTCATCTCTGTGCAAGACTCCCTGCACCGTCTTACTTCTTCGTCTTTGTATCCGTCTCCAGCTCCTTTGTTTTTTTTTCTTTGCGCTTTTGTTAGTTTTTTCTATCTCCCTTTTGTTTTTCTTTCTTTTTCCTTAACGGCGTACAGCGGGTTTCTGCTGGTATTGTTTTTCGTCCAGGAAGAGGAGGATCGCGGGGAGGGGAAGACACTTTTTTAAGGGCAAAGAAGAGGGTGGTGGTGGAGTCAAGGCAAACACTCAGCAAGAATAATGTACGGCGTGGAAGAAGAGAAATATGTGAAATGAGGGGAGAAAGGCGGAAGGGGGCGGGAGGCACGGTGAACGCTGCCCACGCAATGCACAACGGCGGCGGTTACTATTTACAATGATGATTGGAACTACTCTTCCTTCATGATGACTATTTACTTTTTTGGCCTGTTTTTTTTTTTGTGTGTGTGCTTTCTCTTGGATTGTAGGAAGAAAAGGAGGAAGAAGTAAACAATTTGTTTGCTTCCTTGTAGACGGAGGTGAATGCATCCCGGTAGTGCTTGCAGAGGTGTGCGGAGGAGGGAGGGAGGGAAGAATGCGAAGGAGAAGTAACGGCTGCAATGAGTTGATGAGCATGTGGGGAGAGGGGGAGTGCGGCTCGTAGAGGGGGAGTGGGGAAAACAGCCAGCTCTCTTCACCTCCCCCGCATTGCAAATCCAATGAAAAGAGGCTTCTTTATCGCCTTCCCAAACTTTTTTTTTTTCTTATTTACCTCACGCCGCGCTCTCATATTTCTCGATTTCCACACGCATACAAATACAATACGCCTGCGGGTTGTGGTCTGTCCGCCTTTTTTGGCATCACGGGGAAACCACACACACACATCCACACAAACACACACACACACATCACTCTATACTTATATATAAGGCCACAAAGAAGAAAAATAATGTGGCACTCTGTGCGTGATACTTTTTCCCACCCCACCTCGCCCCTTTGGCTTTCTTTTGATCTGGTTCTCTTTATGACGATCATGCGATCTTGTTATGCTCTTTTTTTCTTTTTTTTTCTCTTTGGGTTTGTTATGCGTCTCAGTCTTTTTACTTTGTTTCCAACTTGACGCAGGCCGCTTATTTTGTTCGCTGTTGTTCAGTTACGGAAATTTTCCCGTTGGAGGAGACTCACGCAGACGTGAGCGCAGTAGAGAAGTCGGGGCACCAAAGAAGCGGGGGTGAGAAGAGAAAATCGCAGGTGCGCCTTTAAATCCAGATATATACATAACGGATACACACACACAGAGAGAGAGAGAGAGAGAGAGGCAAGGAAGCGAATACTTTGGAGGTTTCATTGGGGCGGGAAAGGAGAGAAGGAGAAAGAGAAAGTTTCATAGATTTTAGCATTTCAATTGGGTGACTGAGGGAGGAGCACTCGTCTGATGAATATCTACGGCAGGGAACAGAAGATTTACAACGTAGAGCGTACCCTTTGCGAGCGGTGGCTGCTGCATCTATACACTTTCGCCACTGGTGTGCAGCTTGCGTGCTTTATCTTTGGTATCATTCGCACCGCCAATGCTGCCTCGGAGATTTTGGATAATAGCTTTTTCATTACTTCTCCGCTCCAGATTAAACCGTTAACGCTTAAGGATAGCTGTTCCCTTTTGGTGGAATATCATCCGGAGACTATTTTCTCCAGCGTCAAATATCTTGTATCAACGGATAACGTGGGTTATTTTATCAGTCGAAATGCAACAAATATACGTCTGTTGTTTACGTGCGCTGCGTTGAACATTGTGGTCTGCGCGATTAATCGCATGTGGGTTTGGATGGAGATGCACGAGATGCGATACCATTTTGTGGTAATTCGGCATGATGTACTCATTGTCTGGGAGCTTTTCCTTACCATCATTGGAATTGTCATGCTGGAGCCCGTGGCGAGGGAGCGTGACATACTGTCAACGTACTTCTTAAAGTGTGCCAAAACGAGGCGTTATGCGTTGGGCCGTGTCACTAATTATATGGAGCTGCATGTATCGTTTTACCTGGCGTTGTCCGTTTTTACACTAAATGCACTGGCAGCGGTTGTTATACGGACCAGGAAGAATCCAGGCGATGGGATGATGGAAACGCCGACATTACCGCCACACTTACCACCACAACTGCCATCTACTTACGCGCCAGGGGAGACGCACCCACGGCGGCAGTTACACAACCCACCTCTGCATGGTGTGAGGAACGAAGGAGGAAACGAGGGCTTACAGCCAAGTAATGGCATGGCACTCGACACAACCGCTGCGCCAATGGGGCCTGCGGGGCCTGTGGAAAATATTGAACACCGGTGTTCCGATCAAGGCTTTGGTCCAAGCGTTAGTCAGCCGATGACACCCATCACGTTGGGCCCACGCCTCGGCCATTTGCATCGCAGAGACGACGGTGCCATGTCTGTCATGGATAGTTCCTGCAGAAGCGGTGGTGTTGGGGCACAACTATCGCTGCCCCCAGCGGCGGAGGCACCGTTGGCGCGGTTTCAGGTGCCTCCACCTTCGCCGTCATTGTCAGGGAAGCAAAAGGTCACATAGGGCGATATTGCCACGGAAGAGACGGCAAAGTTAGAGAACAGGATGTGAGTTAGAGCAATGAGCAGTTTCCCCCTTACTTTTGTATGTCTTTATCAGGGTCGTACTGGGGGAATTCCTTCTGTTTCTTTTTTTTGTTTCGCTGATGATGCTGTCTGTTTTTTTTTTTTTATTGTGGCTACACGTGGAGTACTCTCTTTGTTGTCTGCCTCCTGGTGCAGAAGTCGTTGCTCGTGCAACTTTGTGCATGTGTGGGCCGCGCTGAGGTGGGCAGAGCAGAAGCGAAAGGGCGTAGATTCCCCCCCTCCCTCCCTATCGATATGGTTCTCCCCTAGACTTTTTGCATCGGGAACGACAGCTCATTTTTATTATCATTATTACTATTATTTTACTTCTTCTTCGTCAATGCCTTGTGTATGCTGACTACTTTTGCCTTTCCCGCCTTGCGTGCACAATAGAACGAGAAGCAAATGACAGCCTTGCAGCAATACGCCCGCGTGCACTCCGTCGATCTGACGTTGCAGCATGAGAAGGCCTACCAGCGTCAGACGGCCGTGAATGAGAACATTCACAACCCGAACAAGAAGCACGTGAACATGAGCGGCCACATCCGCTACTCCAAGAAGATTGGTTTGGGCTTCAAGACACCCAAGGCGGCTGTAAACGGCAAGTACATTGACCGCAAGTGCCCCTTCACCAGCAACGTGTCCATCCGTGGTCGCATTCTTCGCGGTGTGGTGCACTCCACCAAGATGAAGCGTTCCATCGTCATTCGCCGTGACTACCTGCACTTCATCCGCAAGTACCAGCGTTACCAGAAGCGTCACCGCAGCCTGACGGTGCACTGCAGCCCCTGCTTTGACCCCAAGCCTGGTGATGAGGTGGTGGTTGGCCAGTGCCGCCCGCTGAGCAAGACGATCCGCTACAACGTGCTGGAGGTTGTCAGCAAGTCCGCCGCGGACAAGCTGGGCAAGAAGTTCTCCAAGAACTAGAAGGCCGCCCCTTGTTGTCTAAACCCAGTTAGCAGAGGTCATGAGAAATACAACTGGATTGAGTCGCTAACTGCGCTGGAGGAAGTGGAGGAACAGTTGAGGTGTTCATTTTGTTTCTCCGTTCCTTTTTTGTTTTTGCTTTCTTGATGATTATTATTATTTTTTGATTTTGTCGTCGGTTTTGTAACGTCGCCTATTTTTGTTTGTTTTCTCACCCACTCTTTGTTTTTTCTCGTTGTGAAATATGTGCTTTGTTTTTGTTCCTCCGGCACGCACATTTAAGCTTCTTGTTTTCTTTTTTGGTTTTTGTATTGTTTGATTTTTTGCCGATCTTGTCAATCTAACCGCGAAGTGGCGACTGCACACAGGCAGGGAAGAATAGCCAAAGCAACACCACACACACACACACACACACACAGAGAGAGAGAGAGAGAGAGAAAGGAGGGTTAGGATTAGGGCCGCACGTTGCCGCAGCGGGGCCATGGCATGGCGTTACAACGCTTCCGCAGGCAATAGCGTCTTTGGTCTTTCCTCGACAAGCCCCTTTGCAACAGCGAATATGGACACAGGTGGCGGTGCCAATCTCCATGGCCCCGGCAGCACGGGATTGGCTGTTGAAAGTGGTGCAATGTTCGGTGGAACCGCAGCCAATATTTTTGGTGCCGGAGCTTTTTTGCGCAATAACGCTGTCTCTGCCTTTGCGACGCCGGAGCGAGAGAGTGGAAAAGAAAATGAGGAGCAGGAAAGCGAAAATGAGGCACTAGCCGTTGAACGTGAGCCGGGACCGTCAAAGTGGGAAGGAAACGGCAGTGGGGAAGCGGCCGACACTTTCCCCGTCTTTGGTCGCAGCCAAGCCCCAACGCAATCACTAGCAGGTGCGTTAATGAACAATTTGGTGCGGAAATGTGATATTTTGCCGGCAGCCGGTGCACCCGACGCGGGTGGTGTTCAGGCAGGTAAAAGCAGAGACGTGCAAGGAAGGGGGTTAACAGAGCTCCTTTCGAGGAAACTGTTTCAACAGACGATGGCTGCGAGGGAGGATGACTCTGACAATGGTGGTGATGAGGAAGACTATGATGAGGCCGGGAGTGGGGATGCGAGTCACGTAGATAGGGAGTTTGTTCGCAGTGCGAATTCACTCTTTTCACAGGTGGAGCCTGAGCTTCTCTCGGACACCTTCGTTCCCTTTGAGCATGTTATTCAGATCATTGCCAACGAAGATGGCACTGAAGCTGCCGCGGGCGAGATCGAAGAGCGCTTGGCGGCGTATTACGAGCTTCAAGAGGTTTTAGACGACATGATGGGTCGCTACATTGAGTCTCACCATGACGAGTTTAACGAGGCTGTTGCGGGCTTCTCAGAGATGGTGTTGGCTATCTCTGGCAGTGATGAGATGTTAGCTCGGCTTAAGCAACAGCTGGCGATGGCGGCTGCCTCCTTTGACAATCTCGCGGAACAGCTGCAGGTGTTGCGTATGCGTGCCGCAAAAGCACTGCTGATGAAGGAATCGTTGAAAGGGCTGGAGGCCTCACTTTCTTGCGAGTCTGAGGTGAAACAGCTCATTGCCACGCACCATTACTTGGCGGCGGTGCAGCGTTTACGGCAGCACAAGGCACAGCTTGGAATGCCTGAGGTTGCCAACATCCGCGCGACCCAAGTGCTGCGCGATTATGTGGATAGAACGTTAGACACGATGCATGAGATTGTTGTTGAAGATTTAATGAGTTGTGTATTTCGCCAGGGGCGCATGTATGAGGCAGACGCGCAGCTGGTGGGTCAGATGTTAGTAGACGGTGCGTCGGAATCAACGGTTCCAACCATCGATGATCTTGCGACGCTCCACGAGCAACTTCTGCACACCGGTTCCCAGACAAGTAAAACCACCTTGACATTCTCGGATGTTGTCAACAACATCCACGACGACCCCTACGACGAGGAGATTATAAAGAATTACCTGCGCTTTATCCCACTCTGTGTAAAGGCGATGCAGGAGCTTGGAAAACTGCATTACTGCTATGAGGCTTTTTTCTCGCGAGCAACGCGTAGTATTGAGCGGTCTATTGCCGACTTTTTTTGCCTCTATGGGGCATGGAGGCAACGTGCGGTGCGGTCGATGAGTGTCGCGGGAAGCTTAGATGCCGCCACGGTGCGGGTGACGAAGCTGCAAGCAAAAGGGCTTGCATCGCCTACCATTTCCTACGACGAGGCCATAGCCCTCATTCAACGGTCAGAGCTGAGTGCAATGTTTAATGTCCTTTTTGTGGAAATCGAAAAGATTGTGCGTAACGCGGAGTATCTTATTAAAGTGGTTCTTGTTTCATATTTTCCGTTTCTTTCCTCGTTTTTGATGCGACCAGGTGGTTTTTCCCCCGACACAACCTACCGCGACTGGGATGTCATGCAAACTCCGTTGACGAACCCGGAGGAGATGCGGGAAATACTCACGACAGCGCTGTCAAAGACACTTGCCAAGTATGCTGCGCAGGAAGGTGATGAGGGGCATAATGCAGAGATGCTGGCGCTCAGACGGTTAATAGTGAAGTTGGATGTGGATGAGACTTTTTCCCGCCTTGCAACGTTGACAGGAGGACGTGTTTGTTTGTGCAGCGTGCTGGATGTCGTTTCTGAGGCAGTTGAGGCAGTCATTTGGGAATTTCCTGATGCTGGCGAGGAGAAAGTGACGGCGTACCATAGAGAGCTGAGTGGCTTGATCTCCTCCATGGTACTGCAGGCCTTTCGCCGTGACGTTAAAGAAATGTATTCCCAGTGGGATTTGCGGGTACTGTCATCGCAGCTTAGCTACTACATAGAACTGATCTTCCGCCTGCTCTGCGACGCAAAGGAGTTGGAGGAGGATTTTGGGGACGAGATTGCTCTCAAACCATTTTTAAAGCATCGGAATCTCGCCGGTCGCGTGCACCGGACAGCTGGATTGATGAGCGGCGCCGCCGTGGACACTTTCCCTTCGCTTGAGAAGCTGCTCTCTGCTCAAGATTCTTCTGGCCTGCTTGCAGTGATGGAACAGACTGGGCATGTGTCATTTAGTCTTGTGGTGGCGGTCAAGTACGCCCAGCGAGAGTTCAAGCGTGCCAAAGAGGGACAACTGAAGCAGCCGAGGGGGGGCTCCGTGCCACCTGTAAGCGTATCTGCTGCTGGCGTAAGAAGCGGTAGCGCACTGCTTCTTCAACAGGCCACAACTTTAGCGAACTGGTTTGTGTTGACCCCAATGAATATATTCACCTGCTACGAGTCTGTCCGTCGGTTTTACCAGCGTTGCGCTGTGCGTGCCCCGCGCTTTGTGAGTGAGTCTCGTGAGGAAATGGAAAAGTCCCTCCATCACTTTTTGCAGAAGACCTGCATCCCCAACTTGTACCTCTTTCATGTTCAGCAGCTGAGGCGACTTTTTGAGGATATGTCGGAGTCGGAGAGTTTTGCAGATGCGACCGTTGCCGGTGGGATCGATGCGAGCAAACCGTCAATTAGTCCAAAAATGCCGTCTAACGCGGCCACAGAGCCGCTTATGCATCAACAGAAGGCTCAACAGGAGGGAATCAAATGGCCCATTGTCACACCTCGCCAGGAGGGTGAGAGTGGGTATCCAATTCTTACGTGTGTCCATTACGTTGGCCAGGTGCTGCAGAAGATTGCCCGCACCTGCCGAACGCTGCCTAGCAAACTCGCCGATGTCGTTCAACAGAATATTACAGAGACGTTATTGTCCGAGCTTACCATGTTTCTTAGAAAGAAATTTCATCTCATCTCGCACCGCACCTTGTACCACTATTTGCTCCACACGGAGTTTGAGGAGGCGTTTTCTGGGCGTCCCGGTGCACGCTGGAGGGCACTGTGTGATGAAACGCGCCTATTGGATGCTCACAATGCTGTTGACGTGGATTTATTCAGGTACTACGCATACAACAACGAGCGACGCACCAGTGGACATAAGTACAGTCATGTCGCACATGATTTTGCAAGAGGAGAGATGTTATTCACGTCAAAAGACGTTGGTGAGAGTGGCGTTGACGCAAACATTGGCGGCATTCCTCCCTCAGAGCTTGCACTGAAGGGAAATGGTGTGGTTGTGGCCCTTGCCATACTCTGTTACTCCATGGAGTGGCTGTGCGAGGTTGCTCTTCAGACGGTTTGGCAGGATGGGTTGCATAACGGCTCCAGTGCCGATTGCCTGGTCCCAGGGGAGATATTTTTTAAGCGCTACGAACGGTGGTCAAGCTCCTTGGCCGCAACTATAACCAGCGATGGGACGCGCTGGATGCGCCTCGCTGGTATTTTACGGCAGATGTACACCATCTCACAGGTCTGCCTTTTCTATTTATCGCTTGAGGCGCGTTTTGTGGCGTTTCAGTACATCCCACAGCTCCGCGACGAGTCGTACAATATTGTGGCAACTGCCCGCTCCCCGGACACGTTTGTGCAGGCATACAATCGACGTATCATTAACTTTTTTGCCCTTTTAAAGTTGCACTTGTCGGAGCAGAAGCTGAAGTACGTGGGCATCACCGTCGCCAAGCCACTGAGCGACCTGATCATGGTGGAGCTTGCCCACCTCCGCGACAAGGCCATCTCCCCCGCCGGGTTGACACGGTTGCGGGCCAATCTTCTTTCCATCGAGACGGCGCTGCAATTGGTGCTTCCCACCGACGATGAGGTGCGTGAGGCGGTGAAGCATCATTTTTCGCGTCCAGCCACGTTTCTGCGTCACCTGCCAAACAAGAACGTGGTCAGCGACCTCATTACCAGCGGGGACTACAAACAGCTCTCGACGCAGGAGACAGAGGAGCTTATTCGACTTGTGTTCCGCAAGGAGGCCAGTGATGAGCTTGTGGCGGCGCAAATACGGCTGCTGCACACAAAGCTTAAGAGTGTGGCCTCTGTTCCCACCTTGCCGGAACCGGCGACATTGGCGTCGTCGGCACCTGCAGACCCACTCCAGGCTGGAAACGAAGCCCAACCACACGACAAGACTGAGAGCGGCGGTGAGGAAACACTGGCCGAGGAGGAGGAGGAAGAAGAAGAAGAAGAGGAGGAGGAAGAGATAGAGGAAGAGGAAGAAGAAGAAGAAGAAGAAGTAGATATGGATGAGGTGTTAAAGGCGGTGGAGCGAAGACCGTCGCGTTACGTGGCTCGCACGAGAACGAAGCCTGCATCGTAGTTAACTGTCGCACGAAACCCTCTGCCGACGACAAGAACCAGGACAACCACAGCCACAGCGGCAGTGGTGCAGCTGACGGGGCTGAGCCCTCTGCCCGCAAGAGAGGTGGCTGAAGAGGACGAAAAAGCGGGCGTGAATGGGCCTCGTTTTCTCCCTTGCTGATGGAACATAAGGCTATGGTGAAGTGTGCCGGTTTTTATGCTGTATTTTCCCCCTGACACATCGTTTGAAGGTTTCAATGCTGCTGCGGTAGACTGCAGGGCGTCGACGAGTTGGGTGTCCGCTAACGTCACGAGAAAGAGGCTTGTCTCACTGTGGACTTGTGCGTCTACATGCCAGATTGTGTCTGTGTGTAAGTGGGGAGGGCTGCATGCGGTTTTCATTTATTTATTTTTTGTTATCTGTTGCTGGTGTTTTTTTTTGTCTGTTGTTTTACTTGCCTCGTTGGCGCTGTTGGATCCACCGCATGCACGCGCGTCAGCCGCTTTTTTTTGTCGCCAGTCCCAGGGCAGTTTTATCCATTGTTCAAAAGCAAAGAGGGAAAAGGGCCGGCGAGAGGGTGTATGTGAGTTGCTGGTTTGTGTGGTACCTTCTATGTTTTCACAACCCTCCTGGCACTACGCCGACCTCTGAGCTAAGCTTCGAGCGACATTCCAAGCACAGAAACACGCAAAAGCATACATATATCTACTGGACCATCTTTTTGTTTCCATAGTGGGATAAGGGGGAAGCCATGTCTGCGTACCCCAGTCTCAACAGAGAAGGCGTGTCGTCACTAGCAGCACCCGCACTCCAATGCCGTCGATGCCATCAGTGTGTTATTTGCTGCCCCAGATGCGGCGTGTCAAACTTCAAGCTGATCGACAGCGCATCGTCCCACAAAGGTTATAAAACGAATGTGGGTTCTGCTGTTCCTGCAAGTAATTTTACGGGTGCCAGTGGAGGTGGAGGTGGTCTGACGTGGACGTGTCCCCTGCCTGGCAAAGAATGTGGTGTGACCACACTGGGCTCCTCTCCTGCGGCGCCAACAGCCTTTGAGCTATTCTGTCGCGACGCTGAGACTAAATGTGGCATTGCGGTGGAAATGGACGGGAATGACGCCATGATACGAGAAGAGGAGGAGGAAATACGACGTGACAGAAGGCGTGTTCACGCTGAGGCTTGGCTTGCCGCAGATGCTGAAACGCGGGAACGCTACGAACTGGCCGCATCTGCACTTGCAGCGGATGCTGCGGCAAGGACGCAAATTGTGGCGGGCAGGGATGCACCAAAGAATTTCCGGCGAGGCAGGGGGAGACAAGCGTCACTGAGCTCTCGCATGGCGGTGACTCCTGCGTCAGGCTGCGGGGACGGCACAGGTGCTCCTGCTTCTGTGGCACTGACATATGTACGGAGCGACGACGGAAAGCGGGCGAGGTCGTACAAGCGCCCAACAACGTCGTTTCACCTTTTCTGCAAACACAACCAGCAGACTTACCAGACTGACGGTGCACTGATGAAGGCGTGGAGGTCGATGAGCCCTGCAGAGAAGAAGCCCTATGACGACGAGGCGGCTGCCATCCGTGTGGCACCGCGTGGAAAACGGCAAACTCTTCCCTCTGTGTCCTGACATGATGTTGTTTGATTTTGGTTTGCGTCCTCCAAACAGAATTGGTAGATTTATTTTATTCTTTTTTTGTTGTTGTTGGTTTTTTCTTTGAAACTGTTGAGTTTGTTTGTTTGTTTTTTGTTAATTTTTTTTTTTTGTCTGTGTTTCTGCTTGTTTGGGCCTTCTTTGCAATCTTGTCTGAGTCGTGGAGTGGTAGACGGTGTGTGTGTGTGTGTGGCATCTGGGATGAGTTGTCTTAATTGCTCCTCCGGGGAGGGGGATCTCTAGATGCCTACGTTTTTCCTTTTGTTGTTGTTGCTTTATTTTATTTTATTTTATTTTTTTTGGGGGGGGAGGGTTAGTTTGCATGCGTGCGTGTGTCTCACGACCGAAGGCGTCACACGTTGGAATGAATCGTGAAAGCGTGCCGGGAGGAGTGCGTGGGGCCATACCCCTCGCGGCCAAGCCAGCGGCGGTGGCAAAGACTGTCGATAGCAATACTCCTGCGGCTCCACCCACGACGCCGTTTCCCTCTGCACACCTGCCCCCCGCGGAAGCTGCATCCACATTTTACTTTGTCGTCTTCTTGTGTAACCGCTCTCCCATTTTCCACTCGAACCGCATTCCGCAGTGCGAGGACACGCCCCCGTATACACCCGGTGATCTTGTCTACTTTGGACCCGCAGAGGAAGTGGCGCAACAGAAGCTGCAGGAGTTGGCGTTTCCACTTGGATTTGGGTGCAAGAGCTCCTTCACGCGCAATGGCCCCCTCTGGAGCTCTCGTCTGGAGTGTGTGCGAACGCGGGATAAGGTACGGTACCATAGGATGATTATTGTATCCACCTTTGTCGTGTCCGTCGCCGTAGAAAGTGGTGAGTTGTGGACGATGCAAACAAAATACGCTGCTGTGGCGTTGGTTGTCACGTGCCCAGCGGATAAGCCCTACCATCGGTTTTTAGTGGACAACTTCACAAGCGTTGTGCGAAACTTGCTGCATACCGTCCTCAACTTTGCAATGAAGGCGACACAGCTCTTTTTTTTAAGGCTTTCCCCAACCACCGCAGTAGGAAAGTTGGTCACGGAGTTGGAGCGAGGCTCTCAGGCGTTACAGACACACCGGACGTTGGGGTCAATTCTTGTCAATGCCTTTGCACACGAGCATGCTATCCCACGCCTGCACAGCCGCCTCGTTAACGTGAATGTCCCCGATTTTTTTTGTGCCTTCACCAGAAAACTGTCTTGCGCCACAGATTTCATTGAGAATTTGTTGAGTGGCGCGTTGCATGGTTTGTGTTGTTTCAGTGAGTCCTTCACAAGCCGTGTCATTGCCGGCCTGCTGTCGCTGTCGAATTGGGAACGATGGGGCTCTGGTCAAGCCAACGTGGAAGCACGGCAACCGCGACACAACGTCGAGGAGGGCGCAGAGACGGTTGACAACTATGGTAACTACTGGAGACACATGGAGAGGGCAGAGAGGAGTAGTAGTGGTAGTAGCTGCGGTGGCAACAATAATAATACGTATGGGGCTTTGTCCCTTGTATTGGAACGGTGCAAAAGTGTCGGCAAGAACAACAATAACAGTACCATCAGTTGTGTTGACACTGAAAGCATTTCTGTTACTGCTGGGACCCAACGTTTGGATAGGTTAGACTTTAATTCAGTTTCGAGGACTGACTCCGCACCTTCCACGGCAGCGCGTAGCACGGTTACTACTACCGATGTCGCTTGTTCGCTTTCATCACAACGTGTAGGACGTGTAGTGATTTTTGGTACGGATCCAGAGCTGGCACGGTGTTTACTTATCCTGGCGGCCTTTTTTTTCCGAGACTATTGTACCACTGTGGGTACGTCAAGTTGTCAGTGCGACGAAGCGCCTTTTGCGGGGAAGGTGCTTTCATGCGCCTACCCTTCCTTTCCGGTGCAGTGGGTTATGGAGGAGTACGATGAGGCACGTGTGGAGCGATTACTTTTCTCCCCATACTCTGTAGATAATCTAGTGTTGATTATTTCACCACGTGGTGAGGTCTGCAATCGCATGCGTCTGGAGAAGCGGTTTAGCCTCATTCCTATTTTGGTGGAGAAGTTCAAAGAAAACTTTCAACCTGTGTGTCCCTTTCAGCAACGCACTCTCAGTGTCGTGAGGATGCTTCCCGACAAGATGATAACTTCCGCGATACGCAAGGCTCAGCGGATGCGAAAGAAGAGTTGTGGGGCCGTGAGCTGTGTCGTGTTTTTTGAATCGTTTATGTTGAGGCTTGTGCGACAAAGCCAGCTATGTTACCTGCAGCAGCAGTGCGTTGAGGCGGAGGCGCCGACAGCGTCGCTTTTTTCGACGTCGTCGCTCCTTTCGACGCCCCCGAGAAGCGCAGGTTCCTCACACGCCATTTGCGTTGGGTCTCATATGTCGAGGTTTTTTTCGTTTTTTGGCCGGAAAGACGGTGACGCCGTCCATCTCTGCAGCCGTCCGCGTTGCTCTTCTGCAGACGCGCCCCCGCACTAGACGACGTTCGCGCGACGGCGTATCCGCCGTGTGCCTGCTCTGAGGATGGCTCAGACATTATTTTAGGGGGCGTGCAGGTGAATTCGCAGCTGATGAGTCTTTTGGCGGAGTGCTGGAAGAGCGACCGGTAAGCTTCGTGAGGGCACAAGTTCTCGCAGGGGGACAGACGGGGACGGTTAGTCACGTGAGGAGTAACTAAAAAAGAGGAACGGAAGTGAACAACAGGGGGAGGCCATTTTTGTTGTTGTTTTGTTGTCTGTGAACGCGTGAGGTACGGGTGGTATACATGCGGGGAGGGGAGTGGGAGGAAATGAAAACAATGAGAAGCGTGAGGAATGAAGATGGTAGATGTGTCTGCCTCTGCGCGGGTGCCAGTTGAAGTGCGACGATACAACCAACATCAGCCTTTACCAAGGTCGCTTGTGTTGCAGTTTATTCTATGCTTTTTTTTTGTTTTTTTTTGTTTTTTGCTACTACCGGCCCGGCTAGTGTGTCGTTGTCTTGTCCCTCCCTCCGTCATGCCCTTTACCTTTCTTCCCCTACTCTTTTATTCCCTTGCCTTTCCTTCTGCTTCGCTCCGGAATGATTGTGTGTTTCCTTCGCTACCATGCATGGGAGGCTATACGACGGCTATTCCCCTTTGGTTTTTTGCGGCGATCCATCTTTGATGCTGAAATGACATGCGCATCTGTTACGACGAACTTTATCACCACCACAATTACACGATCACGGCCGACCTAATCCTTCGCTCTCTCTCTCTCTCTCTATTATCTCTCTTTGCATAACTGTACACCGGTGGGCATGCGTAGCATTGGCGCATGCGTGTGGTCCTGGTTTCTTTTTTGTCTTTTCATTTTGTTACCGTATTTCGCCTCCGTCTGTTTTTTTTTTTTTGCGTGTGTCTGTGTGCAGTTAGTGGAGCCAAGGAACAGCAATCGAGGGATTGGACTGGCGTGGGTCCTCCACCGAGGCGTTTTGCATACATCAGGAATGCTGTCTACACGGCGGTTGCTTGCGGCTGCTGGTGGCGTGGAGACGACGGTGTCGTATCGTAAAGGGAGTTATCACCTTGTCCCGAAGAAACACACAATTGGAAGGCGTATCGCGGTGCGCAGTTACCTTGACCGCAACCGGACGGAACTCTCTGACCGAACTTACATGCCACAGAAGGCTTGGTTTGAGCCGTACACTCCGAGACATTTTGAGAGGGAGCATGAGGAGCTTAGCTACAACTTTTACAACATTGAGACAAAGCTGATTTGGACCGCCTTTGACACCCCTGAGAAGGTTGGGATTTTACTCCACGATGAAACCATCAAGGGGGCAAAACACCTCTACGACAAGGAGTTTCTGGACTCCGCGTTGCACTGGACTCAGGAGGCTCGCTACTGGCGTTGCATTGGTATTACGAAGCCCTTTTACAACAAGACAACACTGCGGGCGCACTGCTGGCATGATAGGGGTATTCAAGTTGGGACGCTTGTCCTTTCACAGGCCATGCGTCACGCGTTAATGGATTTAGAGCGTGCTGTTCGACGAAAGGAATTGGGCCTGCCACCAAACTACATATGGGACCGTTGGGGCCCTATTGGTTTTATTGATGGCGCCAAAACTGACTATTTGCCGCGGTTCTCACATAACCCGTATATGGACCCGGACGGTGTCGAGGTGACAGAGCTCGATGTGGCCTCATTCAACACCCATGAACAAATTAAGGAACGTTATGGGGCGTTTATAGACCCCGACCTCACCCCATTCGATGGGGTCTTTCGTGCCCCTTCACATGGCACACTAACCCTCGAAGACGTGCCGGAGCAGACGGCGGTGGAATTGTTTCGTCAGCTTAAATCCAAGGCAGGAACGCCAGTGTTTGTCGGTGGCGGGGCAGAAGTTGCCCCGGCTGACATGCGTGCCCTATTCTACCTTAGCGCGAATCCAGAGTGGCTTGAGAAGGCTCAAGGCGTCGATTCTTGGCAAGAGGTGCGTGAAATGTTGGTTCCTCTACAAGAGACTTGTGACGAAAAGATTGAAGCACTCCGGCTGTTGCAAAATACACGCCATGACGCGAATCGTGTGCGCTCTTTCTATGAGGAAAAGTGTGGCTTTGCGGATTTTATGTATACTCCTGATAAGGTTATCACCGCGGCGGTGCTGTGTTACTTGCAGGAGTTACATCGCATATGCACTGAGACAGAATGGGGCAAACCGCTCTCCCTTGCCTTGACAGACATGGAGAGAGCCCAAGTAATGGGCAAGGAAGCCTTTTTGGTGTATCGACACATTGAGGATGCGATTCTTGACAAACGACGTCGGACCTGGGCGACACGCTTTGCAGGTAAGGCGAACGAAGAGAGCACCTTGGACTATCTTCTTGAGAACTTTGGTCGTCGTACGGAGCAGATGCGCAACGTCGGTTCCACTGGCACAGAGTTTGATCGAGAGCAGGAACCGATTGGCAGACAGGTGCAGAGGCGTGTTCTTGACTCGGACAAGGCTCACAAATTGGCTGAGGCCCGCCAGAAGCGGGGTAAGATGTGGTCCAAGAAGAAGAGCGTTTTTGACTCGCTTCATCAGAAGCAGCTGCAAAATGTGTCGTATGGTATTCGTTAAATTTGTTGCGTGTACATTTTACTCTTTCCTTTTGCGTCTGTATGTGTGTGGGAGGCTTGGGTTGCTTGGTCACTGTTCTGAGAGCGGCTGCGAGGGAAGGGGAAGAGAGACTGCGAGTTGGAAAGGGAGTGAGAATGGATTGAGTGTGACGCAGTCAATGGTTGTGGATTCATGCAATTCATATTATGTGGTCTTCTCGATTTTTTTGTGCGCCGCTGCAGCGGCTGGCGCTCCGCAGCCCCTCACCGTATTCTTCATCTTGGAGAATTCCATACATGTGGGCAGAGCGGAGAATTTTTTTTCCTTTTTCTTTTTCGCTTGTTGTGTTCTTGCCATCTTTGCCAGTATAAGATTCTTGAGGTAGGGAGAGTGCAAGTGGTCTGCACGGGCAGCTTGGATCTATTCTCTTGGTGCATCCACACTATAGCACCACTACTGGCATTACGGCCACGGTCGCCTCGCTTCACTCGTGTTGTGCTTCACGAGCAGTTGTGGCCATCAAGGCGGGGTGGGAGGAGTGATACCCGCGCATTTGTGAGAGTTAAACAGGAGTCAACTTCACCACAAGGAGGAGGAAAGCCATCACAAGGCATCGAGAGCATAAGACATATATATATATATATATATATAGTACTTTTACACTGTAAGTTTGCGCAATACCAAAAGCATACAGGTTCCACAACACGCATATAAAACAGAGGGGTTGTTTTGAAACATAATTGGAATGACCTTGCATGCGCTGTCGCCACCACTTGCCAAGCCGCTGTGCCGCAAACCGAATCAACACCATCTTCCGCCCCTGTTTCTACCGTCCTCGTTGCCCACCACGGAAGCAATTTCCGCTGTTGGGTGTCGGGCGATTGCACCCCAACCTATGTCACTTCCAGACAGGGCGTCGCGCCGAGGTAGTGCCTCCCTACGCAACTGCTGTAGTGTCACGAAAATGGGGCTCATGACCGAGACAGATTTGCATCATGCAAGTCGCCGTAGCGAGGTAGATGTAGTTAGCTATGCCGTGAAGCACCAACTGCCAAATTTGGTGAGCGACATGATTGGAGACTTGCTGCGTGAACGGCCAGAGGATGATGTGGATGGATGGATTTTCCGGTGGTTTAAGAGGGTGTATGAGCAGCGCCAAGCAGAGTTGCAGCGACTGTTGACGCAACCACGTTTCCATTCCTTTAGACGACGTGCCGTCAGCGACGAAATGCAGCAAAAGGGATGGGGATTTTTTTTTGACGCAATCGTCATTTTTTGCGCCCTTGACACAGAGGCGGTCCGAGACCGCAATGCTTTCCAGTGGAACGACGCTGGGTATTGGTGACCCCGTGAAGAAAGACGTGTCTCAGTCGCAGCCGCGAGTTGTGTTGGGTTCGTCGCAGTGCACCATTGTCGTGTACTCGCCACCGTCCATTGCGGGTGTAGTTGGACGCAGCGCCACAGTGCCTCCACCGTCCAACTTTTCCCCGAGCGGTGGGAGCCCGCTGCTTACCACCACCATTGCCCAGCGCTCCCTTCCAATCACCCAGGAATTCCCCAAGTTGTCAGCTGGGGAGCAAGAAACCATTGTGTCGCGAGTATCTTGCGGTGCGGACTTTCGTGTTAAGTCACGATCTCCCCACAAGGTAGAGGCTTGCGGCAGCAACAATGGGGGTTTGGCTCCAAGCCCCGTGTGATGCAATGAGCTGGCGCAGAGTAAGGGGGGGGGGGGTCAATCTATTTGGCTTGCGGGCGTTACCCAGAGCATGTGCAAGATGTGTTCTCATTTTTAGCAAATGTGTGTATATGGGGCGGGTGACACCGTGCCAGTGGGGAAGATATTTTGGCTGCAGAGCCCCATTCACTATTTTTGGGAATTTTTTTTTTTACAATTTATTTTCTCATTTCCCTTTTTTCCTCAGTTTGTGAGCTTGTGTTGTTGTTTGTTCTGTATTCGGGGGTAAATACATTGTGATCCCCGTCATTTGTTTTCTTCTGCGGTATTAGGTGGGCGATGAGCAATAGGATTTATCATGTTGTCATGAACCAACTCCAGGACGGTCGAAAAAAGGCAAAAGACAAAGGAAAACAGTGAGTACAAAACCAAGTGTATGTATATGACGGGTTTTTTTCCTTTGCAATGCTAGTTGTCTTTGAAATATGAGGTGGTAAACCAAAACAGCTGTTAAATTGTTTGTGTGTCTTTGTCTCCGTCACTGTGTGTGTGTGTGTGTGTGTGTGTGTAGTTTCATACATCGGTGGCAGGTGAAAATGTAGCAGTTGCGGTGGATGCCATCATTGATGATGGGCAAACCGAGCGCGGGGGACGCGGTGGTACTCGTGAATGAAGAACTAACTACAAAATATATATATTTATATGGAAAAGTGAATTTAAACAAACATTTGAGAGAGAGAGAGAGAGAAACGTGTAAATCGTATAGCAAATGCTTGTCGTTGGCAAAATGGAAACTATATAGTGTACACACACACACACACACATGCACACACACACAGAGAGAGAGAGAGAGACGGGTAGACAAACCGAAGTGAGGTCACCATTGTTTACTGTCATTGTCTTTTTGTCGTCGTCGTTGTTGCCTTTTTTTTTATTATTATTCCCGCCCCCTTTTTTTTCTTTTCTTGCTTTCTTTGCGAGAAGACCCACAAAAAGAATTAAAATGGGAATGTTCCCATATATACACACTCGTTTCCTTTTTTCCCCTGTTTTTTTTTTTTTGGTTTGCATGTGGTCCTCTCCCTCTCTCTGTTCTTCCACACGTGCGTCGTGGCCGGAAGGTCTGCACAGCTGAGTACTTGCGTGTCTCGCTTGTCTTTTTCCTTTTTGATACTCTTGGACTGGCAGCATTGCAGCTTTTCTAAAAGCAAAGGGACTCCGCTCTCCCTCGCCGTTTTTCCTCCACCTGCATCGTCACAGTGCTTTTTAGCACAACAGGCGGGTCTGTGGTTGGGCGAGTAGGGGGAAGAGGCGGAAGCAAAGAGGCCCAATCCAAGGCAGTGTTTTTTTTTTACTATTATTATTATTTCCTGCATTAATTTCTGCGTGTGTGTGTGTTTTGTTTTTTTTTGAGGGGAGAGGGGTTTGCTGGAGCTCCTTGTGGGTCGTTGTTCGTTCGAAGGCTGCAAGACATCTCACACAACACCCGTGTGTACGTCTAACCTTCACTCTGAGAGCGGACGGAGGATTGCAGTTTCAACCACAACTACTACAAACGTCAGGAGGAGGACGCTGGAAATTTCTTCGCGCGCCAAATGGAGTCACAAAAGGTCACCTGCGACGATGTGAACAAGCTTGTCGCCATGTGCTCCATAAAGCAGGATAGGGCCATCACGTCGTTCCAGCAGTGCTCTTCCAGCCTCTTCGTTCTGCTATATCAGCGTCTCTACAGCTGCACCATTGAAGGCATTGAAAGCTCACCCTACACGCTGCAGCAGAAACAAGGGAACGTCACACTTGTCTTGAATGAGTTGCGAGAGAAACGTGGCATGGACGTTACAGGCATTGACGCGGAGCAGATCATTCAATTCAATGAAGAACACATCAGTCGACTCATCAGGCTTTTCTTGGGCATTGCGCAAGAAATGCGAAGGAAAAAAGAAATGGGTGACGCGCTGTCTGCTCCACTTGGCTCTAAAAAGTCACCTTCAACGCGAGACGCATTTGTCGCAGCGTCGGCGAGACCGGTGTTGGCTGAGTTACCAAACAAATCCGCAGAAAATGGAACGTGGTATGCCCCAGTAAGGACTGTTGAAGAAGGGAAACAAGTGTTGCACATCGATAACGTGTTGGCCGCCCCATTCCCTCAAAAGCATGTGAAGGCCGCTTTTTTGCACCTTGACGAGGAGCGCCTTGGTCAACCCCAAGGTTCATTCGCGTCCCCGCATCAGACACATCACGTTCATCCTCGTCATATCCGGGAAATGGACGACGGAGTGGGTGCGGGTAACGCTGCCGTCATCATCAGAGGTGAGGTAGAGGAAGACGACGATGACGTTGCTGGTGCCTTGGTGATGGGGCCTGCCGTGAAGGAAGAACACGAATATGGTGGAAGCACGGGTAGTTACGGCAACGGGGATGAGGAGGAGGAAATACCCACCAAGCGGTTGGTGGATGCGTGGAGCGCCGAGGTGATTCCACCCAGGCGCTTCAGTAAGGTGATCAAGTCCTCCTGTATTGCAGATATTCGAGAGCGGTTGCAGCTCATGGATGAACGACTGAAGAATGAGGACCGGCAACGCGAGAGACGTCAACAGGCTGCAGTGCAGCGTCACGTTGGCGTCAGCGAGCCTGAGGCAAAAGACACCAGACACATCAAAAGGCACGAGAGACCAAAGGTAGTGTTACCGCGTAGTCTTGTTCCTGATGCCGTCTCCGCAGAGGATTTACTTCGTCATGAACCGAAGCGCATGATAGATTACACGCTGCGGAACGAAAAGATAGAAATGCTTCGTTCCATTCGTTTCATCGATGACTTGCAGAAGGAAATTCGACGAACGATGGTGCAACGCCACAACGACGCAACGCGACAGCTACGCGATGAAGTCCGAGAGGCATTAGATGACGATCGGCGGGAAAGGTTGGAGCGCATGCGCCAGGTTAAGGACGAGGATCAAAGGTACCGTAGTGCCTACAAGGCAATTATGGCTGCGGCGTGTAATGACCTTCGTACCGCAAAGGACCTTATGATGGAGCGTACCAGACAACTGGCGGAGTATCATTCACACTCGCTGCGTGAGAGTCGCCGCATGTGCCAATACATGAAGCGGGAGAGCAAGGAACGAATGCGGCACGATCTCCTTCGCTATGCGAGTACTGTAACAGGGTGGCAGTCGCACTTTGTCAGTTAGAGCTTGTTGTATGTGTGTGTTTTCTGTGTGGGGTGGAGGGAGCTGTTTGAGGAGGAAGGAGGTTTCCACCTCCCTTCTCTGAACAGGAATGTGGGAGGAAGATGAGGGAGGAAAAAGTAGACGCGAATGGTAATAATAGCAATAAATAAATAAAAATCAGTGGATGTTCTTCTTGCTGTTTTTTTTTCCGATTTTTTTTTTTTGTTTACGCGTTGTGGCTTTTTTTTTTCTTATTGCTCCTCTATTTCTTTCTTCCTTCCACCTGTGTGCGTGTGTTGGCGTGGCAGCAGGTTTTTACTGATGATAGCGGCGGTCTGGCGCCACTAACAGAATTTCCCCGCTGGCTTGCTCTCTTTTTTTTTTTTTTTTTGTTGTGTGTGTGTGTTTTCGTGTTTGTTTCACTGTACATGACTTTTTATTTTGTTCTCCACTACTCTCTTGTATGACAAAATGCCCTGTCTTCGCCTCCGTTCTGTTTTGTTTGTGTTTTCGTGTGTGCGTGTACGTGGGTGCTGTGTCCGGGGAGGCAGATATCATAATGTATGGTGTACCTAGAGAGAGAGAGAAAGAGAGACGGGGGGATGACGGGCAGTTGTTCTTGAACGCAGAGTGTCTACGTGCCTTTCCGCAACTGAGAGCAAAAATAGTGGGCGTTATAATGCCCTGTGGGAGCGTCCCCCTCCCCCCACACACACTCACCTATTCCCTCACGAGGATGATGGTTTCCGCGCCACCCTTGTCATTGCTTTACGACTTCTCTTCACGTTGTTGCTGCCGTTGTGTGTGTGTGTGTGGCGACAGGTACGATGCGGGAGCGGCGTGAAGGCCGTGAACCTCACACATTTTTAGACAACTGCTGCCTCGAGGAGCAGGTATCACCACGACTAAATGAACTTAGGCACCAGAATTGCTTGGGCGAGAATCCGGAGGCAACGTCGACGGTGTTCAATTGCTTCAGTAGTGTAAGCTCGCAGCAACCCGGTATCTCCTACGATAGTGCGTACAGGAGCAGGAATGGGGTCGGCTACTTCCCGCCGCCACCACCACCACCTTTTCCTCCCCTGCCTTTTTTTGTGGGTGACGACAGTGGGACTGACTCGAAGTTTGTCGGCTGGCCGCCACCCCTTCCGACCACGCACTGGACACTGCCGCAGGATGCCCCGTGGATCCCACCGCCACCCATCCCGCCCAATGCTTCAGGTGTTTCCCGCAACAACATGGGGGGCAGTGCGGCCACAAAGTGGCCGACGCCACAAGACATTCCATTGCCGTCAACCTTTCCGTTTCCACCGTACCTTCTGCCGCCTTTCGCACCAATGCCGTCAAACGCGGACTGGGGACAGATGCCCCCGCCTCCGCCGTGGTTTCCGTGTCCTCAAGGGGATCAACATCACCAGCAACGGGGGCAATACAGTGCGGACGACACGTCAACCCTCGACGATGCTGATGATGATGACGCTAACGACGGTACACTGACTGAACCAGGCTCTCGAAGGGGAGGAGGACCTGGATCACACCGAAAGAGCTCTGCACGTCAACCTTCTATGTCAATGCACGACGAAAAACATATGTCTTTGATGGTTCGTGAGGCAGAAAGGCGTCAGCTGCAGACCAAAGGCGTCCGTTCCTCAACTAGGAACTCGCTGCGGAACGCAACAAAAGATGGAAGGCAGGTGTGTGAAAATTCCTCGTCGGTACAAGGGTGGAATGCACCTCGTGCTGCAGCAGCGTCTGCACGAAGGTTCAGCTCACCTGCTGTCACGTCACGGCCCGTCAAGACAACATCTCGACCATCTAGTAGGCCAATACCACTTGACCGAAGGCGAAATGACTACATGGACGCGCGTGCACTTAAGGGAGTTTCACCGCGTTTAGAGGACGCCATGAAAGGGCGACCTTACTCGCGAAACGTAAGAGTGTCAAATGCATCTCGTGGACGCGGCCGTCCCCATACCCACAACATGGGTGTGGGTGGCAAAAGTAATAGCATCCGCCACTTGTCAGATATCAGTGTGCCTCGTGGTGTTCGGCATGCTTCTTACCAAGAAGCTGCGAAGCAGGATGAACGTGTGGCAGAATATCTTAAGGGCATTGAAGACCTTTACAAACGTCTCCGCAGCAGTTATGAAGATTTTCAGCGCGACCCATCAAAATATTTGAAGAATGTATCTATATTGAAGGAGGCGGCAGTAGCCAAAGCGCCACCACCACCGCAATCATCCTCGTTCTCACCAGCAGTGTCACGGCCGTCATTGGCACCACATGACTTTCTAGATGATACAGCTGCAGCAGAAGACAAAGGATATGACATAAAGCGTGTGGCACCGCAAGAGAAAGGAGTCCCTCCATTATCTCGGGAGTCCCAACGAATACGGGAAGAGTTGTTCAAGTTAGAGATGCAGTGGCAACGACTAGAGGAGTTGAAGCGAGGCACCACTGGAGAATGCGGCGCTGCTCCGATGGAAATGTTGCAGGATGACTTCAGGGAAACAACATCGAGGATGCTCCACGGAACAAGGGCTGGCAGGGCGGAGTTCAGCGTCGGCAAACCCCAAGGTCATGAAAATGGGAGACTCAATGAGCGCGTCACAAGCATGCGTGATTCACTTTATGGGGGCAGTGTACAAGGGATTGCCCCGGTTGAGGGAGTGAGAAAGGACAAACCAAAGGCCGGTATTCTGTCACGCAGCTCTACTTCACACCTTACAGGAGATGAGGCACAAAACAGTTTCTTGGATGGTGGTCAAGTGGGTCATGAAAATCGAAGTGCTAACACTAGTACAAGCAGTCACAGGCCCTTTACCCGTGATCATGTGCTGGAGTTGGTGCGGGAGCGAAAGGCTATGCTGGAATAGATGCTGTAGGATGGGGAATATCATTATGTGTCCATATCTTTGATGATGCAGTTTTGTTTAGAGTTTTATCTCACAACAATGAGCGTGTTTTTTGTGTATCGTTGTAATGTCCATAAATCATTTTATTATTATTATTATTGCTTTGGGCTGTACGCCGGATACTTTTTGGTGTGGCCCCAACCCCAGGTGACTGCGGAAGAGCCAAGACATCCACAACTCCATTTACTCTCCCTTGACAGTGATGTCTGCGCATGCATGCCTGTGTGCCTATGTGTCTATGTTTGCATGTATACGTTTATACCGTACGGTCTTCTTCTTCTGTGGTGCAGGTTGCTTTTGTGTGTGTGTGTGTCTGTTGGGTATTGGGTGTTGTGTTCTTGACAGTCATTCCCTACCAGGTAGTTACGCATCTATCTTTGATGGCAAACGCTGCTGACAGCGCTACTTCCACGGCGGATGAAAGTAAACGAGGCAGTTTATTCGGGGTTTCGGCGACGTGCCCGATGCCATCAGAGGAAAACTTTTCTCAGCGGTCAAGCCTTCACCACTTTGGCATTATTGCTAGAAAAAGTGTGTTATGTGCGTCGAGGCAGCAGAAGGCGTGTGGCGCCTCATTGTGCGCCTTTCCCCTTGATGACGCTACTGCTTGCGAGAGTGGTGCCTGGCGGGCGACTGGGTGCTCCCCGCTAGCCGCGTTGGCGTGTGGTGTGGAGGACCTGGAGGGTGGGGTGGAGCAAACCTGGAGTTTACTCAGTCAATCGAGTTTGTGGGGTTCTTCCGTTTGTGGTTGCATCACAGCGTCGTCATGGGGTGTTCCAGCAAATGTGAAAAATAGTATTTCCAGTTTTCTTCGCCTTGGGGCCTTTTTGAGCCTTCGTGCCGTGTTGGTGCCGCTTCCTGACTGTGGGGATGATGGTAGCGAGACGACGGCTGCGTTTACCGAAGCTGTTGCCGTTCTCGCAGAGCACTTGCGACAGGCTCGGACGACAAACATTTGGGTTTATTGCGATGCCGCGTCCCAGGCTCATCGTGTGGCGTTTTGTCGACTTCGCACCGCCCTTGTATGGGGTTCCACCACCCCGCCTTTGTTAACTGAGGCTGTGAAGTCTGTGTCACGCGAGGCACTGCAAAGAGTGATGCCTTACTTGTACTTCTCTGAGACATTCGGGGCACTTCCCTCTGAGTGGCTTGGAGAGCCTGTTGTGGCGTTTAATGTCCCACGTGTTGACAGCGTTGAGCGTGCTTTGCGGTTTGGCGCTTTCAGGGCTGCACCCGATTCAGATTTGCCGAGTGACATTTTACCTCGTATTCATTCTTACTGGGCCACAGCGCAACCTCCTTTTATCTCTTTAATGGCATTTGTTGTGGAGCTACTTCGTCGACGGGCGGCACCTATGTTTTCTGTAGACGAATTTGGGAGGGCCTACACGCTTCTGGACCAGTTGTATGAGAGGCATATATTGGACGATGGAAAGGACAACTTTGTTAACTTTGAGGACACCTTGCAACTTCCACTACAGCCGCTAGGTCACATGTTGTCAAGCGGGGTCTATGAAGTGTTTGAGATGGATGCTGCCAAGTACAGACAGTACCATGCCGCAATGCTTCACTACTTCCGTGATTGGTTAGAGAACTATGAGGAGCGTAGCCACGGGAAAATGTGCAGTCAGCATGTAAAGAGCACAACAGGCGAAGGAATGAAGACCGTGTACGTTGTTCTTTTAGGTGCTGGTCGGGGTCCCTTGATTGGGGAATGCTTATTTGCAGCCTCCTCCGTTGGTGTTCGCGTCCACTTGTTTGCGGTGGAAAAAAACCCTGAGGCGGTGGATTTTGTTCGTCTTCGATTGCGCGCAGATCCCCAATGGTGCTACGGCATAGACACATACGGTCATGTGGTAGAAACCCTCTGCGCCGACGGGCGAGCGGTGACAGCGACGATAGTGGGATCGCTGCCGACACAGTGGGGTTTATGTGATCTTGTTGTTTCCGAACTACTTGGAAGCTTTGGTGATAATGAACTTAGCCCAGAATGCCTAGAGGAGTTTTATGAGGATTTTCGACGTCACCAGGCCTCCGTTGGAATTCCTCTAAATCCACACATGACTTCCATACCACAAGAGTACACCGCCTGGATTGCCCCACTCTATTCAGGATGGATGGAGGAAGCCCTCGCAGGGACGGCTGTCTCTGGGCTTACTGTGCTGCCGTCATGGTGCCACGACCGTTGTGCGGCAATTTTTCACTCCATGTTTGTCACAAATGTGTGTCGCGGTGTCGCCTTGTCGTCACCGCAGCCGTGCTGGACATTTAACCACTTTACCGGGAAAGAATATTTTCAGCAGGAGCGGGAGGCTTTACTCACTTTTCGCATGAACACGTCTGGTCGCTGCAGTGGCTTTATTGGATACTTTACGGCTGTATTATTTGCCACTAAATCGAATTGTGATGGAGAGACCAAAAAGGATGTTTTTGTTTCTACGACTCTTTCAACCGCCCCTGAAGAGCGAACCTTTGGAATGTTTAGTTGGTTCCCGTGTTTCTTCGCCACTGCGCCACGAGACATGCTGGAAGTGGACGCCAATGACTGTTTGCAACTGCACCTGCGGCGTTGCGTGGATGCTGCTGGGAGGCGGGTGTTCTACACCTACGACGCCAGTCTGCTATCAAAGGGGCCTGTGGGAGCAGTGAAGGCGACCACAACAGTTATTAACGACGGTGGCTGGGCCGCATCCATCCTCTTGTATTCCTGAGGGTCAGTACGATGGGGTGTGCACGAGAAGGAGGAAGAAGAAAAGGGGGGGGGGGAGGGGCAGTTGAGACGTCGTCTCGATGGATTTAACTCTCAATTATTTGCAGATAAATTGAGAGAAATAATTTTGTGTTGATTTACGTGCAGTACGTCCGTTTACTCATTTATTTTTGTTTGGAAAAGCACAGAAATGAAGGCAAAAAACAACACGAGGGAACATGTGAGTTTTGGTGACACTTCCTTTTGGATGCCTCTGCGCACTCCCCTTTTTCCCTACCCATACTTCAATGTTGTTTGTTTGTTTGTTGTTGTTGTTGCTTTTTTTTTATTTGTGTGTGTGTGTGTGCATATTCCCTCTTAGAACTTTCTAGCAGGGGGCGCAAGGAAAGGGGAGTGGGAGTCAGCCGGTAGCGGAAGAGGTGGTGGTGGTGTTGGTTCCGTCGCTGCTTGGGTGGGAAGACAGCCGCGGCCGCCACAAGGGGCACGCAATACACGCCGAGAGCTGCGTTCAGCAAAGAAACACACAAGCAAGACAAATAGAAGGAAAGGCGAAGAGAAATAAACAAAGAAATAGGATAGACAGTGTGTGTGTGTGTGTGTGTGTGTTTTTCGCAAATCAATGCCGCGTCACTACACCCCGAAGGAGGTTCGCGCGCACTGCTTTGAAGATGATGCGTTTGTCTCTGCCAACGGCAAGGTTCTAGACATCACTCCGCTTATTCAGC